GGCGGGCCGGGCGTCGCCCTCCTGCCCCTCCTCCTCAGCCTCATCCCCGCGCCGGCGGCGGAGCAGGCCGCCATGCCCGTGCCATGCACACGAAGATGGACGGCGTGAAGCCGGCCTCACCCCGCCTCACCTCCCGCCTCGCCCTCCACCTCGCCTCGCCTCGCCTCGCCTCTCCTCACTTCACCTCTTGTCGCGCCTCTTCTCACGTCGCCTCGCCTCGCCTCTCCTCGCCCTGGGAGCAGGCGGCCGCCGGTGCGAGGGCGCTCTCGCGGGCCTACGCGGCGGCGGCGGCGCTGGCCTTTGTGGGCTACACCGCCAACCTCTGCCTCGCCGGCCTCGCGTTTGGCTCTCCCCGCGCCGCGGTGGGGGCGCTGTGGGCCGAGGCGCCGCCCGCCGTCGCCTTCATGTCGATCGACGCCGGCGTGCTCTTCCTCGGGCGAGCCGCTCCGCCCCTCTCCTTCGGCCGGGATGCGCTCCGAGATGCGGCGGGAGTGAGGCGAGACGGCCCGGGGTGTAGGCTGCTGCTCCACCTCGCGTCGACGTCGCCGGCCGAGGCGCTCGCTGCGCTCCTCGCGAGCCCGCTGGTCGGGCCGGGGGCGGCGTGCGCGCTAATGCTCTCCCGGCGCGAGGCGCGGCTGGGCGAGGCGGCGGCTGGCGAGGCGGCCGGCGCCGGCGAGACCAAGAAGCTGGCGTGAAGAGGCGCGGGTGCTGCGGCGTGTGTGTTGTGGGGGGAGAGGGTACGTACGGCTTGCCCCTCCGCACCATGGCTGCTCACCCATCTGCATCATCCGCGGCCCGCCGCGGCCGCCCTGGCCGCCGCGGCTGCCCTGGGGGCGCGGCGGGGGCGGCCGGTTCGACTGCATCGAGTGTATTGGAAGGCTGTTGCTGCTCTTGCTTGCTTGCGAGGCCCTGCTGCGGCTCGCTCGTGTCAAGACAGATCGTCGCCAAAAATGTCGGACGTGCGCGATCATACGTTTCACGTCTCTCTCTCCTGCGCCGCGCCATACTCTGTCTCATCGTTCTCATCTGCGCGGCTCATCCTGCGAGCGCCGCATCTGGCACTTGGAGCACTTGTGGAGTGCAGTCGGGGTAACACCTCACATCCAGGGCCGGGGAGCTAAGAAGCGTACCCAGCGGGCCGGATGATCGGCATCGGGCTACGGGCTAGAGAGCCCTGACCCCTAGGGGGGGTGCGCGTTCGCAGGGAAAGGGCCGAAAAAATAAATACGGCGCGCCAAGCGGGCGATTTTCTCTTTTCCAGAGCTGCTCCGACGGCTCCGCGATCCATACACGGCTACCCTGCGAAGGTCCGTGTCGTCCTCGATGTTCCTGCTGGCCGCCGGCTCGCCCGCCCTGGTGGCGGTGACGGCGACGCTACGGCGCGCGGCGGCCGCGCGCCCCCCTCCCCGCATGGCGGAGGCGATCAGTGAGGCGCTCAGCGAGCTCTGCTTGCTCCTTCCGAGCGCCGAGTTCCCTGGCGACGCGCCCGCGCTCCTTGCCGGCGATGCCGAGGTCGAGCTGGCCGAGATGGAGGACTCGTGCGAGTCGCGCTCGCAGCTCCACCTCTGCTCGGACGGCAGGGTGAGCGTGGGCCAGACGGACGGGCCTCCGCCAGTCTCCACGTGCGGCGTG